ATACTCGCTGAACCCAGTTACGCCTCTACGCTACCTGACTGCTTGATGTGCGCGGCCTAACGGCCTGTGGGCTCAGCGGTCCATCGCTAGGTCTTTGCTTGCGGACGGCCTCGGCGCCTAGCCTGATGGTCTCGGCGGAGTCCTTCTAAAAACTCTATCGTCTTTTCACCTTGTCACCCCTGCTCCTTAGCCTCGGTGTATACCGCGGCTCTGGGCCCCGTGTGATTGAATCATTATCCAGGTATGTCGGGAGTGCAGCCCCCTCTCCCTCCCCCCTTCCACCGCGGCGCGATGCCGGCCTGGCCTCTAAGAAGAGAGTATGCGTGTGTGTGTGTGTGTGTGTGTGTGTGTGTGTGTGTGTGTGTGTGTGTGTGTGTTGAGGAAAAAGGGGGAAAGAGGGAAGGGGGCGCGAGAGTTCCCGGCAGACAATGAGCACCACAATGATACTCACGCGTCCGACAACAAGACAACGAGTGCGAGAAGTATGTGTGTATGTGTGTACGGGCTTGTGTACGACGACGACGTGGCCACGGTCGGGTTCATTGCACACAAGTCATCAATTTAGATAGAGAGACGAAACAAAATGTTGTAACGATTTTTGTTCAAAACAAAAACCATTGCGTTCAGGGCATTTTTCTGATAGCAGGTTGGGCGTTTTGAGCCGCGCTCCCTTCTGGCTATACTGCACCTATGCAGGCGTGCGTACAGGCTTGCCTACCGACTCTGACCTCACGCCTCACGACCCCGTGCGCGTATGCAACCCATTTGCACGCCTGCGTAGCGGTACAGTATAACCAGAAGTGGACAGGCGGCTTGCAAACGGCCACCCCATTTGTTAAATACAAAATGAAATATTTCTTCATCCCAACTGACTTGGACGAAGGGCCACAGCACGTCTTTCTCTCCCAAAGCAGGGGGTATTCGACCTATGGTCTCCCTGGAACCAGATGGCCCCTCTGCCACATGTGCGGAACACCGGGGGCCGCAAAGCACTAAACCGAACACGCAACGTGTTTGTCAACAGGACCAGCGGTGCTAATTTATCGTTCCCATGCGCAAAAAAGGAGGATGGCACTAACGCCAGCTGTGGTAGTGTGTAAGGGGAAAAGGGGGGGGGGGGCAGCAGCAATGTGTTCTGGTTTTACGCAAGACAGATCATAAGGAATACTTAGACAAAAACTTTTCATTATTTCTTTTTGGGGTGACTAAAGGGATTCTGTAGCTGGAATACGGTAGTGGGTGCGCCTTACAGCAAAGGGTTCGACAAGTATGCCGCCGCGGACCGGGACGAGGAGAGGGGGAGGGGGAGGGGGAGGAGCCACATTGACGGCATTTCGTCACGCGGCCGGCGCCTCACGCCCGCTGGGGCTGGCGCCAGGACCGCGCTCGTGTCGTTTCCCTTTTTCTTTTTCCTTTTTATTTCTTTCTGACAAGGCTGACTGCAAAGAAGAAGGAGGAGGAAGGAGGCAGGGCAAGGCCCACGCAGCACCACACACCGGGCCGTTACGGGCCATATGGGGCGTGCTGGACAAAGTGCAGGCCGGGCCATCTCCGCCAGACCAGGCCATCCACACCCACAGCACGGCGCGACGGCAGACGGCGGCGACCTCCCGCGGAGCCGGGGTCGCCGGCGGACGCCAGGGGCCACCGGGGGGGCCGGGGACGGGGACGCCGGAGGCACCGGGGACGCCGGGGCTCATTTAGGGGGTAAGTTTGGCGGTGAGTTGGAGCCTCTCTTCCAGTCCAGGGGAACGGATTGGACCTGTCTCCCGTGACATGAAACTCACCGTCATCAGGTCCTTGCCCTCGTCCGTGGAGGTGAGGGCGATGAGCGCCTGCTGGCACGCCTCCGGGCAGTGGCCCGGCGGGCCGTGGTGCAGCGCGGAGCAGCCCACGATGTACATCTGCAGCGCGCGCCCGCACCCCGTCCGGTAGGCGCACTTGAGGCGCGCCTCCTCGCAGCTCGGCCGCCGGCCCTGGTCGGCGTCCTCGAGCGGCACGCCCGGCAGCGGCAGCCCCAGGCCCAGGGCGAGGCCCAGCGGCGACGGCGCGGCCGGCGGCAGCATGTCCGGCGCGGAGGCGGCCCTCGGCAGCGCCGCGGCCACCAGCAGGACGACGACGGCGAGCCTGCTGCCCCTCAGGGACATCCTGAAAGAAAGAGAGAGAGAGAGAGAACGTCAGTCACACGAGACATTCCAAACGTTCTGTCGAAGCGACCAACCAACCACCCGCGCACACAACCGCACGCCGTTTGTCGAGAGTCGTTCGAGAGTCTCGATACGGGGCGGGCGCAAACCGCACGACAAGACGACGACGACGGCGGCGGGCGGGGAGACAACCGCAGACCGCACCGCGGAGCCCACGCGGCCGGGACCTCCCAAGGGGCCTAAACGACGAGCACGGGGACGCGCTGCGGGGCGCGTCGTGCGTCCGGATGACCGTCATCATCAGGGGATGCAATAAAGCGATCAGGACCTCGGGGGCGCCGACACGACCTATGGCGGCGGCGGCGGCGGCGGGGACCTCATCGCTATGGCGGCGTGAGGCCCGCGCCCGCGCGTGTTTGTTTGGCCCGTGTGTTTACAGAGGCAGTAAAGGGGCGCCGTCACGCCTCCCCCCTCCCCAAGTCCCCCGCGCGAGCGCGCCGCCGACACATACGAGAGCTCATCATGTGTCTCCTCTAATAATCGTAAATCCCACACCCGCCCTCCCTCACACACTCGCTGTGCAAATCTTTTTAGACAGTCCCTTGTGGTCTGTCTCTACCCGAAGGTAAAAGTTTCCAGTTTTGATAAAGATAGCCGATTAACGTTCCAGTTATGATAAGCCGATTGATGATTTTGATAAAGATAGCCGATTAACGTTCCAGTTATGATAAGCCGATTGCCGATGATAATGTATATTCTCTGTTGGGGAAGATTCTCTGTGGGGGAGTTTTCTCCGTCCGTTCTGTTCGTCCCCGGTAGCAGACCGCTGTCATCGCCCTAGTTGTGTTATAAACATAGCGCCCTTATCCCTTGCTTCGCGCCGGGCCATGGTGGGGCAGCCGACCCCCACTCGAGCCTCTTGAGGCAAACTGCGTTGCGCCTCGCGCCCCGCGCCGCGCCCCAGCCCCTACCCACTTAGAGCTCAATCGGCTCAGGGCGCCACATGGCCCGTCCACTTGACAAGTGATCCCCAGCCTCAAATTTTAAAGTTGAACCACAGCGCTCTGAAATATGAAATGTGCTTGTTTTCGCGCGCGCAGAAATTACAAATCCATCAAAATTTGAATGGTGATTCTAGCATAATTTGCTGATTTTCGTTGTTTTTGATATTAACCACAGCTTTCCGTAACATGAAAAAGCGCTCCTGGGTAAGGTGAAAGTATCCCGTTTTGATAAAGGTTGCCGTTGTCGGATATTGACGATTAAAGTTCCGGTTTTGATAAGAAGGTTTTCAGTCTTATTTTGATGCCTTATTGAATTTAAAAATGCAAGCCTTAGCGCCTGTATATTTTGAATTTGCTTTTGGAGCCGGACTGTCTATCCTCCTCCCTCCTCTCCAGCCTCAGTCGCTCTGCGATAGGCGTGATTGCAATATAACGATCCCTCTGCCCGGCCTAAAGCATAGCGATTCTGCAGCAGGCGCGTATTCCGCAGTACTCCAACCCCACGCAGAGGCACCACGAGGCGTCCCGCCGCCGGCTTGGCGCGCTCGATTGGTCACAGGAGCCGGCGGTGCCGGGCGCGCGGCCGCCGCGGGGCCGAGAGGAGCGAAGAGCGGGGAGGGGAGAGGGGGGCAGACCACCGTGCTGGCTAGGCCCTGCCCACGGGCCCGGCCCGCCGGGCGTTGGTAGGGGCCAAACCACGCCGTCACTCCGACCAATCATAGACACCAGGCGGGCCCCGCGCCCCGCCGCGCCCCGCCGCGCCCCGCTACGCCCCGCCACGCCGAGACCACCGGCCATGAGGACCGCGTCGGCCTCGAGCCGCCTCATGGCATGGCAGCCAAAAGCGCCGCCGCCGCGCGCGGACCGGGATTGGCTGGCCGCCCCCACCCCGCCCTGTGCCGCCCCCGCCCCGACGGGCCCGTCCCCCCACGTCACTCACAGCCCGACGAATGGCACGGCGCGGCGGCGCAGGTCGCGGTGGCGCGCGGCGCACGATTCGCGATCCCTCAGGCCGTCCGCTCGTGACGGACAGGCGGGAAGGACCGCGGCCGCGAGGATGGCCGCCGTGTCCGCGGCCGGCGCTCCGCCATATACGGCAGGCGCTCGCATCGTGCCCACCCCTGGCGGTGGCTCCCGTGACACGCACGACGCTTTGCCCCGTCCCGCGCTGCGCCCGGCTGGCCCCCCCGCGGAGGCCCCGACGAGGAGGCCCCTCCGAGGAGCTGCGTGCTCCAGGCACAGACGGCCCCAGGGGCCCAACAACTCGATTTTTCTCCACTTGAGATACGTAACAGCCTTTTTCAGCCTCTTCCTGCAGGACATGGACCCCAGAAAGACGGCGGCGAGCCCCCCATGGGGCCACTGCTGGCTGAGGCAGCTGAGGGCAGATCATGATAAATCGATGAAAAAACCGCGGCCGACGATGACCGGAGCCGGGGGGGGGGGGGGAAGCGGGGCTTCATACTCTTTGCTTGTTTTGAGAATATTCTCGCTCGCTGGTAATGTTTGCTCCATGAGCGCCGCGAGGATGGGCTTGAGCAGCCACCCAAGCCCACACACACGGGCGCTGCCGAACGCACACATGTCAGCCGTCAGAGCATCTTCTCCCGGGCCTAACCCGAGGCTGGAGGGAGAGGGGGGGGGGGGCTAATGGTAGGTAGCCCCCCTACTAAATACAGATGTTTCGAGACGGGGCCGCCCTGCCAACAAGAACTGACCGCTTCCGGGCCGAGCCACCAACAACAGTTACGCACTCGATGCGCAAAAGAGGAATCGTTCAGGGAGGAAAGTCGGAGAAACGAAAATTTCAAGCGTCGAATTTCATAAATAAAAGATGACACCACGCTGTCCTTATAGCAGGCTCCCTTGCCCCCC